CCTCAGCCCCACTCTGAGAATGGTATCACGTCCCGGTGGCCGGCAGCTGTGACACAGGGCGAGGCTGGGCGAGGCCACCCGAGGAGGCCAGGTGGGGAGGGGAAGACCGCTCTCCCCTCCCGCCCCCTCCGCTGCAGAGCCGGCGTTTATGCTGACACTCCCTGACGCTGCGCCGCCCACCCCGGCCTCCCCGGGCCAGGCCCACAGCACCTGCCCCCAGCCCCGAGACCCAAGCAGACCGACACAGCCTGGGCTGGTCCTGGCAGCCTGCAGGCCCTTGACAAGCTCAAGAAATGGCTCCTTCCCAAAATGAAGGCTTGGAAAAGCGTCCCCACCCACTCCTGACCTCAGTCCCAGTCACCCCGAGGCCTTGGCTTCCTCTCACAGCTCGCCATGCACACTGATCAGCGCCGACCACAGACCAGTGAGACTGAGGTGGAACCACGTGCATGGGGTAGCCGCTGCCACAACGGACGTTGTCACCAGCAACTGCAGCGCCCCAGAGGGCCCCCCAGGCCCCCAGTCATATCCCAACCCAGGACTTAAGGAGCCACTCGCCCACCTCTGTCACTACAGGTCAGTTTTGCCTTTTATAAAATTTCAAATAAATGGCATCAAAATAGTGCGAACTCAGCAAGCTGCCTTCTTTCGCCCAGTAAGAGGCCCGAGCGCCTGCACAGAGCACACACCTGTTCACCGCCAGGCCGGGCTCCACCGCGTGGACAGCACCGATCCACCCACCCGACGGACCCTTCGGCCAGTCCGTGCTTGGGCCATCATGAATGAAGCCACCGTGAACACTCACAGACGAGTCTCTGTGGGTCGCACGTCCTCACCTCTCTCGGGTGAGCGTCCAGGAGTGGACCCGCTGCTCCCGCCGGCCGCAGACAGAGAGCTGCCCGGCTGTCTCCGGAGCGGCTGTGTGGGTCCTGCAGAACCAGCCGCGGACGAGGGTCCTGGCTCCACGCCTTCACCAGCGGCTGCAGCCATGCCGGGCCAGAGCACTGCTCCGCGGTGACCCTAACCTGCACTCCCAGTGACGAAGGACACCAAGTCCTTCTTTACCACTCACACATCTTTTTCCGTCCAGTTACCTGTTCAAAGCCTTTCAGCCGTTTTTCCAATTTGGTCATCTTACCAACTTGGAAGAATTCTTCTCATATTCTGGATAAAAGTCCCCAGTCAGACGGGCACAGTGAAAATATTTTCTCCCCTTCTGTGGCTTGCCTTATTTTTTTTTAAGTCTTTTGAAAGCAAAAGTTTTCAATTTGAATGAAATCCAACTTACCAAAGTTTTTCATCTGTGGTTTGTGCTTTTTGTGTTCTCAGGACTCTTTGCCAAAAACAAGTTTGCAGAAGTTTGCTTTTACATTGAAGCCTGTGCCTCGCAGAGTTTGTGTGGAGTGAGGCTTCTGTATCTGTCTACGCATCTACCCTGTTGTTCCAGCGCCGTCTGCTGACCCTCTCCCAGTGAATTACCTTGTCATCTTTGACAAAAGCCACTTGCCTCTACATTCTTGGGTTAGTCCCAGACTTCCTGCTCTGTCACTGATTCACGCGTCCGTCCATACCCCGCCGCCACCCCGTCTCGATCGGTGCAGTCGACAGGGTGCCCGCGGTCAGCCCCCATCGGCCCTGGCACCCACTCCCCTTCTCAGCTCTCACAGCCACTCTGGGGCCTCCCACTTCCACAGAAATTTTAGGATCAGTTCGTTGATTTCTACCAAAAGAGCCTCCTGGGACTCTGACTGGGATTGTGTTGAACGTACGGATCAATTTCAGCAAACTGATATCTTAACAATATTGATCCTTCCAATCTATGAACACAGCATCTCCCTCCATTCACCTGTATCATCATCAGGTTGTCTTTAACTTCTCTCAGCAACATCTCATCGTTTTCAGTGCACGGCTCTTACGCACATTCTGTTCAATTTATCCCTGAGTACCTCACAGACACAGCTAAGGGTGTGATCCCCAAACTGGGACGAGAATGGCCACTTCCGTGCGTATTCCTAACCTCTGCGAGCCACAGAGCCCCTGAGAACCTGAGAGGGCCTACCGCCGCCCACAGAGGAGAGCAGTGCAGACATACTCGGTCTAAACGCCAGAAGCTCAGACCCCAGGGACTTAACGACCTTAAAGAGGCTGGCCAGCAGCAGAGCAGATGTGGGCCAGTCAAGGGCCAGCGAGAACTGTCAGGCCACAGGCCCTCACACCCCTGCTCACCGAAACCCTGGCTGCGGCGGCAAGCCCCAGGGTGGAACGGCAGTGGGCCAAGGAGGGCCACAGGCAGCAGGCCTGAACCACGAGTCCAGAGGGACCCACCAGCAGCTCCACCCAGCAGCTCCAAGGTTGCAGGGAGCCAGGATCACTGGGGGGAGTGCCACCTAGTGGTAGCAGCTCTCTGAAACCCATGGTGACACTGGACAACAGCCAGCAGCTGGAGTCCTGACAGGCCCCAAGTGAGCACAGTTACGGCAGTGCCTTGACTCTAGGACCAAACAGATGCACGCCCACCCAGCCAGGCCAAAACCTCTGCTCCTAGGGCAACCGTTGGGCCTCTGCCATCGGCCGGAGCCGGCTGATCACGCTTTGGGGGAGTGGGCCTCTGAACCAGCACACGAAACCACACGTCTACACCACACATCCGCACATGTGCTAGAAAGCCCTTCCACTTACAGATGTGGAAACTAAAGCATAAAGGCGAACCCACAACACAGGAGGGCTAAGCTGGGGCCAGACCGACGTCTAGCCACAGTCAACAGGGTCTGACAGCCCCACAGTCACTCCCACTGCTCTGCATGCCGCGCAGGTGATGAAGGCGTCCCTCCCAGACCCGCCCCTGGTGGGTCCCCCTCCACCCCCAGGCAGCCTCACCTCAGCACACCCGGCCCCCCATGTCCCTGAGTACCCTGCCCCTCTGCCTGCTCCCACCCCGACACTCAACTTTGTTTAGAAGTGGGCTTGGCCAGGCCACCCCCCTGCTCAGAAATCTCGAATGAAGCCCAAATCCTGGCAAAACACACAGCCACAATTCTCACGGTATTCGTGGTCAGGCCAAGACTCGAGGCCGGCGCTGGAGAGGCTGACCTGATGGGCCTGGGTCCAGCCCAGGAGCCTGCACTTGTACCAAACCCCCTGGCTAGTCTGCTGACGGGACATACTTACACCACAAGCCTGACCACCAACTGCCACACAACACACGTGCCACTTAAGTGGGGCGCCAGTCACCACGGGGACAGGAAAGGAGAGACGGGGAAGCTAAGGTGTCCAAGGGGCCCCCAGAAGCAGCCCAGGCACCACCACCACAAAGCACGTGGAAGAAAACCCTCTCCCCACAGGGCCCCTGCTTGGGGCCCCCTGCACACACCACCCCAAGCGCGCAGTCCTGTTTAAGCCCCAGGAGGACGAGGACCATGAGGAGAGCCCGGGGGCCCCTCCCAAGGGCAAGAAAACTGGCCCGGAGCAGAGCGCTGCCTCCGAGAGGGGCCCCCACTAGCAGGAGGGCAGGACAACACTTCATTCTCCTACCACGGCCGCGCACGCCCCTCCTCTCCAGGCTGACACCAAGCTGGTGCAGGCACCAGCAGCCCCACCTCGGCCAGCACCCCAGGCTGCCCCTTCCCTCTCTCATCCAGGGCCTGGCCACGAAGGCCAGGCTGAGTGACCACCCCAAAGCCGACCAGGCAGATGCCCACTCGAGCTGCAAAACTCCACTGGCCCACAGGACAGCCCAGCCGGGTGCGGGGGGTCAGGCTGGGAAGTGGGACCACGAGGGCTCAAGAGCAGCTGCACCTCCCATCCTGCCCACAGAGCTGACACTGGCACCGTCCTGGCTGCGACAACAGCCGGCTGCGTGCCGCCCTCCTGGCCTGACCGAGCTTGAGTGCTCCGAGGCCCAAGCTGGGCGTTCAAACGCTCCAGCAGCTGGTCTGATCAGGCATGGGGACCTCTGATCTCCCGCACAAGAAAGAAGTCACGGAGGCTCCTGCTCTGACGAGGGTCCCCTGGGGGCAGGAGGGAAGCCTTCCCGTGAGTTAATAAGCCCAGAGAACAGGAGGAAGCACAAAACGTTCACGTCCTGCTGGCGCCAGCCCTACAGAAGCCTGGGTTCTGCAGGTGGAGTTCACGAGGAAACAGCAGCCGAGCCTGCCCTCGGGGGCTCAGCAAGGCAAAAAGAGAGCGAAGGGGCACTGTCCAGGGACGAACACCTGGAGTCCACAGGGCCGGGGAAGGGGTGCGGGTTCCAGCACAGCAGTCAGACGGCGCAGTCACGGGACAGCTCCTTAAAGACGGTTCTCGGCCTTGGCCCCGTTCCCCAGAACAGCAGGAAAGAAACCCGAGAAGCCAGTCTTGAAGTCGCACAAGCAGATAAAATAAAAAGCTCTTTAAACCCTGCAGGCCCCGTACGCGGGCACCTTTGGTGATCCAGAATGATCAACCTTCCCCCACTGCCAGCACCCACCACCCAAGACGGCAGCAGCCAGGCAGAGTCAGTCTGCAGGGGGCCTGGGCGCCTGGGGGCCTGGGGGCAGCGGTGCAGCAACGCCGAGAAGTGGCCCCAGAAGGACGGGGGGGCAGAACAGACGGTCGGCGGCAGGGGCGGCGGGGCAGTGCCCTCCCTGCCCGGCCGTCCGGCCACCCGGCCGCCACTCGACAGACGAGCGGGGGCCACTGCAGGGGCCTGACGGGAAGTGGTCTTCGATTAGTTTTCCGCTTATGCCCCTAAAAACGCTGTCTCTACTCATTACAACCACCTAAGAGGAAGGACTTCCCCCAAAAGCAGTCTATACAGGAAAGAGTCTTTCAGGAAAGCCCAACGGCGCAGGGCCAGTCCCTGCCAGCCCGCCACTGAGGGCACCCCGACGTCCGGCAGGTAGTCCCCCAGCTCCTTCGCTCTGCGCACATCTCACTGAGCCTCAGTGCCACCAGCAGGGCCTCCGAGGGAGGGAGCCGGGGTGGCAGGGCCCATTCTGCCGAAGGTGCCAACCGTGCAGAGAGGAGGTGGGGACTGAAGGCGCCGCGCCCTCCGCTTACCTGACGCTCAAGCCCGTGGTCTGGTCCAGGCTCTCCCAGCTCTGCAGCTTCGACAGCAGCCTCTGAAAAGACGTGGAGGTGAGCACTCAGGGCACCAGGCCCCCACATCTCCGTCCAGGGGCCCCACGGCCCTCCTGCCGTCCTCCTCCACGCCCAGTGCACCTTGACCCCCGGGCAGACGAGCGCCGAGTAAAACCGGCAGGGACGGCAGCGACACTGAGTCTCCCTGATCCTTCAGAAGAGCCTGCCCTTGCCTCTGGGTCAAATGCAGAAACGCTCCAAGCCTGCTCCGAGGCAGGCAGGCTGCTTTCCAGCAGCTGAAGCTGCACTGGGCGCTTGACACCCCCACTCCAGGTCCCTAGCTTGAAGGTTCCCGGCAGGCAACAGGACTGCAGGCGGGGGAGGGGCTGGGGCAGGGGACAGCCTCACGGATGGGCCTGAGGTGATATTCTGGGCCCCAGGGAGCAGGCACTGGGACTCGCCACAAGGCCCCCCGGGACCAGCCTGCCACCTTCCAGGTGCTCCTCAGGACGCCAACCAGGCAGGTGGACTCACCCTAGAGCCAAACTCCCCTCCCCACCCCACCCCCAGCCAGCGGACCAGGGCACGTGGCCGCCCAGAGGAACAGGTGGCGGCGGTGGCGTCCCCACTCAGCCCGTATGCAGGGTGTCCTGCCCCGTGTCCACACCACTGCTCCACACTGACCCACAGTGCACGTTCGAGTCCCACTCCCTTTCCAGAACACAAGCAATGCGAGCGCAAGGACCGCGTGCCTTCATCTGCCCTCCAGCCTCCTTCCTGGGCCAAGCACAGCGCTGCCATCACTCAGCCGCTCAAGCCCTCCCGGGGCCCACCACGCGCCGGCTCGGGCCTGGCTGACAGTCCCGTTACTGCGACGATGCTAAGTGAGCAGCTACCACTGCGGAAGCACTTCACGTAAATCCATTTAATCCTCACAACAGGACAAAGACGTGGTCATTCCTCACTGCGTAGGTGGACAGAGAAGTTAAGTAACCTTCCAGGGTCACACAGCCAGCAAATACGCAGGGCAGGATTTGAAACCAGGCAGTGTGATTCTAGACGCAAAATCTTAATCTTAACCAATTTCAAAATAAACTGTCAGAGGAAAGCTGCTCAGCTCGGGAACTGTCTCTTCAGGCTAAATTCCTACATAAGCCAGTGCAGGAGAGAGATTTCTGCTCTGGCCCCATGAATGCCTCAGGCTGGCAGTGAACTCTGGGGTGGGGCAGCCGGCAGGCACTCCGACCAGACTGGAAGTGACAGGGAGCGGTGACATGGTTTAAGCCAGGCAGGCCAGAAATGAGGCGCCAGAAATGAGGCACCAGTGTGTGACCCTGGGGAGGCCAAGGAGGGACGGGAGGACCCTGGGCCTGGAGCCAGGGGGCCTTGGTGCTGGCCCAAACTTGTGTGCAGCCCAGCAGCCTCCTTATTTAGCAGACCAGCTGGAACGCAGGACTGGAACACCCAGGGTCCCCCTCAGACAGAGGACACCCGCGGGGACCAGCTCACCTCCTTCTCCAGCTCCAGGTCGACCAGCGTCTCCTGTATCTTCTCCTGCCGCCCCAGCTTCCGCTGCAGCCCCTCCAGCTCCTCCCGGAGCAGCCCGTTGGTCTCTCGCAGCTCCCTGGCAGGGCCAGGAACAAAGTCACTTCCAACAGCCACGCACACTGGGGGGCATCCGGGAGCCCCAGGAACAGGGGCAGCACACCCGCGCCCCCTCCCCTCCCAGGCTCTCACCGCAGGCAGGCCGTCTCCTCCCGCAGCTGCCGCAGCTCCCTCTCCATCGTGGGCAGCCGCACCAGCTCCGACCGCATGTTCTTCACAATCGCGGCGTCCTGCTCCTGCAGGGACAGCTTCTGCTCCAAGTCCTGATTGAGGCCAGGGGCGGAGAAGGGAGAGTCACAGGCAACAAAGCACCCCAGGTCCACACCAACCTCTGCAGCCCCGGCCCCCGCCTCTGGGCAGCCTGCCCTGGCTGCACAGGGTGTTTCTCTGCGCAGGCTTCCGGCCCCACAGTGCACCGTGCCCGTGGGGCAGGAGCCCAGCACACACCTGGCACGGGGACACACAGCAGAGGTGCCCCGAATAAACACCCTCCCCTCTCGCACTGGCTTGGCTTGCTGCTCCCACGCGCAGGTGATGCTGAGTCACTCCACAGCGAGCACAGCCTTTCCTTTACAACATGTAGTCCCCTGGGGCTCCACTGTGACCACCCACAGAACAGGTGTGTGACCAGGACCAAATCAGGCAGTCATTCAACAAACACTAAGGAGCCCAGCTCTGTGCCAGCTTCTGGGTCGAGTAGTGGGGTCAGTGCAACACAGAAAACAGACGAGGCCTCCACAGGGAAGTGCACAGTCTGGCAGGAAAGACAGACCTCAGGCCACGCAGGCAAGTCAATGCTGAGAAGTGGGCGGAGGGCTGCAGACAGGAGGACGGAGCAGGGAAGACGCAGCGGGGTCGTGTGAAGTGGTGAAGGCCAGGGGAGGAGAGAGGGACAGAACAGCATGTAAAAGACCTGAGGCGAAAGAGAGCGCAGGGGGTCTGGGAGCTGACAAGGAGCACAGCTGGAGACGGAGGAAGACAAGATGGACCCGGGGAGTCAACAAGGAGCTGGAGCACACGGGCAGGGACACGCGCTGTGGCGCTAGCTCTGAGGCAGCAGGTAGCCACCCCAGGGACCCGGAGTCCCCGTCCCCCTAGCTCTGCCCTCCTGGTGAAGCGGCATGGCCTCAACTGCAGAGTCGGGACGCCCTGGCTGCAAGGCCCAGCCCGGCCATGCACTGGCTGTGCGACATCAGGCAGGCTCCCCAGCCTCTCCAACCCTATCTCACAGCGGCCACTGGGACTTGAAGTTGTATGTGTACTTTCCGCTCTGTGTATTTGATTTTGGTCTTCATTCAACAGACCACGAGCCTTCTGGAGCAGAAACACGCCTCTTACTGTGGCATCCCCAGCACCCAGCATGGGGCCGGGCACAAGGAGACAACCAGCCGTGGGCCCCAGAGGCCGCCGAGCACACCCCCAGCTCAGAAACACCTGCAGGTGGCAGGAGGGCTGACACCACCACTGCCACTTCCACCAGACATGGGCTGGGGACTGAAACAGAGCAACTCACCCTAATCCTCTGCTCTTGGTCCACCCTCGCGTCTTGGCAGGCCTGGAGTTCCTGAAGCTTCTGATTAGCTTCCTGCCACTTTCTATTAAGACAAAAGTACATCACATGCAGAAACAGGCATGTGGTGAAGCCATCACGTGCCCTTGCCGTGCAGGCCCAGTAGCACAGACACACACACACTCACACGTGCACGCACACACCCCGCAGGGACGCCCCACGGCCAGGACTCCAGCCCTGCTGGTGCCCTGGGGCCTGAGTCTCAGGGCAAGTGGGCAGATAGAGACCACCTGCTAGGTCCTCTCGAGCCGCACACCCCACAGGTCTCATCCCTCCCACACCTGCTCACAACGGCAGCTTCTGCTGGCCCTGGGACAGCCAAAGCCAACGACGCTCTCACAACTCACGCCCTCACTCCACTGAGTGACCAGAACCCTCCTAAGACGACACCTGCCGAGCAAGAGGCCACGTCCTCGGGAGTGCTGTGCTCCCCCGACATCTCAGGCGGCTTCTCCCACACCTCCGCGCCTCTGCCTGGAACGTCCTTTCCCACTCACGTCCCAGCACCGCCCCCAGGCATGTCCTACACAGTCTCTAAAACCCTGCTCAAACAGAACATCTTCTCCAGAAGCTCCACCCACGCAGACACCCACCCCCAGAGGAGGGAAGAAGTGACTATTCCCTCTTCCTGCTCCTGGAGCACAGAAGACACCACTCCGTCCTGGCACTTATCGTCCCGGCTTCAGAGGCCTTGGCGTGTCTGCCAGCAGCCTGTGGATGCGGAGGGCAGCAGGCAAAGGGGTCTCGTAGACCCTCGGCGCTCCAGTGCATACAACACACGTGGGCGCTGGGCGCTCCGGCCACAAAGGGCCCAGGAAAGCAAGTCTGGGTCTCCCACGTGGGTAACAACTGGACATCCGGCTCGGCACACGGCCCAGCAGGCGTCAGGTGGACGGGGCCAGGCTCTGCTGGCAAAGGCGCAGAGAGTGCTTGTGAGGTGGGGGCCCCGCCTGACCCACACTCACCTGTGCTGCAGGTCCAGCTGCTCCTTCAGCTCCTGCTTCTCCGACTCCAGGCGCTTCACCTGCATCTCCTGGTTCATGACGCTCCATTGCAGCTCCGAGATCCTCCCCTTTAACGCGCTGATGGTCTGCAGGCGAAGCCAGACAAGACCTGCTCACCAAGGCCTCTGGCACATGAACGGAGGTGAGCCCCTCACACAGAGATGGATGGGACCAGCTGTCCCGCTCCGGAGGGCTCCTTTGGAGCACACGAACAGGGCAGACCATACGCCACCCCTCAACCCACCCAAGCCCTGCCTGGTGCTTCCCACCAGCAGACGGGAAGAGACGGGGTCGTGGTGACAGACAGCCTCAGGGGCAGGAACGCTGCCAGCCAAGACGGGCATGGACCACACACCTGGCGGCCCCTGACCTGGGCCCTCAATGCCCCATCACCCTAGACCCGCGCAGCCTGGGGCATGCTCTGCCCAGTTCTCCCTCCACACTGCTCTCGTCCTTCGGCCTGGGATCCCTTCTACAACCACCCCAAGCCCGTGCCACCACTCCAGCTACACAGAGATGCCATCTATGAACCAAGCCAGGCACCAAGTCAGCAGCGGGTCACTGAGGCTGTGCTCAGGACAACACCTGGAGAGCTACACTGGGCAAACAGTGCTGAAGGAGTGCCGCAGAGGCTGAGACGCCCCCAGGCCGGAGTGATCCTGAAGGAAAGCAGTGGGAGGACTGCGGAGGCTGCCCAAGGGCAGGCCTCCAGGACGGTGCCTGCGGAACACACGGGGCAGAACCCTGTCCTTAGCTTGGACCACACCCTCACCAGACAATCTTCTGGTGATCAGACTCCACGTGTGGCTTTCCTCGGGCAAGGCAGCGCACCAGCCAAGCCGACAGAAAAAGCCAGCCGCTCAGGAGGGTCCCCTCAAGATAGTGAGTGAGCCAGACATCAACCCACGAGCCGAGAGCAAGGGAACAGACCGCCACGCTTGCCACCATGAGTGACACCTGCGGGGAGCCCTCTGCAAACAGGGGGCCACCACACGCCCTCCCCAGTCCAACCCAGGGCAGACGGGGGGTCTGTGTCCCACCCTCTTACCAAGCCACGTGCCCCTTTGCAACAACTGTGACTATCAGTCTGGGAACCAAAAAAGAATGAAGGTACTAAAGCGACATTTAACAGTGAACGTGGCCTTTGAGAACTCTTCCTGAATGAAGTAATGCACAACGCTGTGCTGAACGCGGGGGTCAGGCGGCCCGCCCCACGGACGGCAAGGCTGGGGGGAAGCCAGGCCACCAGCAGGATGACCTCAGAGACCACGAGCACCTGAACCAGGCACCGTGAGAAAAGAGCGCAGCTGCAGGGCGGGGGCCGCAACCCTAGACTCAGTGACCAGGGCAGCTTCTCCGAGGGGTGAAAAGCAAGAGTAGCAGCATCTGGGTCTCCTTCCAGCTGGCCACAGCCTCTGCCACGCTGGCCCTCTCGGCAGCTGCTCCCTGATAAGGGTCCCCCTTGCTCTTCAGTGAACCTGTGCGGGACCCGCCCTCCCCGGGGGCCCTGCCTGCCTCCAGAACACAGCCCGGAACGGAGCCCAGGCAGGCGCACGCCACAGGTGGGAGGAGGGCTTGTCGTAGGCCAGCCACAGCTCCCCTCCTGCCAACGTCCACATCAGAAGGCAGGTGTAGGAATGACCTTAACACGCGCTCCAGCGTTCCCGGGGGAAAAATGACCTGCAGCCTGCCCGAAGGCCTACCAAGGAGAGGAAGCCGGGCAGAGGCGGGATGCCAGGGACCCGGCCCCGCCCCTGCCTGGCAGCGTTTCACCCTCTTCCTCGCAGCACCTGTGGTCCTGAGCAGCGCAGCAAAGGGACAGGGAAGGTCAGAGGGGCCCCATTTCCACCAGCATCAATCTCTGGGCTGTTTCTAAAATGTACGCAGCCTTCAGTCGGGGGACGCAGCAGGGACTACGGTGCAACTATGCTGTGCCAGAGCTGCTCTCAGACGCTAACAGGCCTCGCTAACAGCCAAAGACATGCAAGCCCAGAGGCACCCACTCATGCCTTCTGGGGACAAAAACTACTTTCAGAAAACAGCACTGCCCACGGGTCGGGTCGCAGTGACACTAGCGCCTCCACGGCGGCGGCCGGCACACAGCAGCAGTGGGCAGCCTAGGCCAGGGGGCTGCCAGCGGCCTCACAGCCCCACTCCCAGCCGCCTGTCCCAGTGAGCACGGCAACAAGCAAGAAGGCTGTAAGCGCGACGCCCTCCCCCAATGCGCATCTGCATCAGGGTGCGGGCACACGGACCAACCAGGCGTCTGAAGATG